GACTTGGTGTTGGTGGTAATGGCAGTAAGGGTGCCCGTGGAATATTCAACATTGGAAAAGCCCATGTTACTAAATTTGATAAAAATTCCAAGAACAAGGTTGGTATGCATGTTGCATACAGTTTTACTTGCTTCCTTTATTTCTTTATTTCCTGTTTCATTATTATTTCTTTTAGGGAGAAGGGGTTGCAGGGAATGACTTAGCAAATAACTTTGTTCAACGGGCAACTTTTGAAACTATTCTTCTTCTTTATTTAGGTCTATTTTAAAGATGTTGCTGGATGTGATGAGGCTAAGCAAGAAATTATGGAGTTTGTCCATTTCTCAAGAATCCAAAAAAGTATGAAGAATTGGGGGCAAAAATTCCAAAAGGCGCTCTTCTAGTTGGTCCTCCTGGCACAGGGAAAACACTTCTAGCAAAAGCCACTGCTGGGGAATCTGGTGTTCCATTTCTCTCTATTTCTGGTTCTGATTTCATGGAGATGTTTGTTGGGGTCGGACCATCTAGGGTGAGAAATTTGTTTCAAGAAGCAAGGCAGTGTGCACCCAGTATAATATTTATTGATGAAATTGATGCTATTGGTCGAGCAAGGGGGCGTGGAGGTTTATCCGGTGCCAATGATGAGCGTGAAAGTACTTTAAATCAATTGTTGGTTGAAATGGATGGGTTTGGAACCACTTCTGGGGTGGTTGTGCTTGCTGGCACAAATAGACCTGATATTTTAGACAAAGCTCTGCTTAGACCTGGCCGATTTGACCGCCAGATTGCCATTGATAAACCTGATATTAAAGGCCGCAATCAAATATTCCAAATCTATCTGAAAAAGATCAAGCTTGACCAAGCACCTTCATATTATTCAGAGAGGCTCGCAGCCCTTACTCCTGGATTTGCTGGAGCAGACATTGCTAATGTGTGCAATGAAGCTGCTCTGATTGCTGCAAGATATGAGGTAACGGAAGTTGCAATGAAACACTTTGAGGCAGCCATTGATCGGATAATTGGTGGGTTGGAGAAGAAGAACAGGGTATGTATTTTGAAAGTTTTATGCCTATCAATATTAGGAAGACGTGGGAGGTATATCATGGGTTGTAGCCTGCTACATTTATTTTTACTTTATTTTTTAAGCTTGATTGTTGTGGGGGCTGGAATGATGCATTCATTTGTCAAAATTAACTGTGAATTGACAGTGAAGTTGTTATGGAAAGTAAAGAAATAGGAGAGAGAAAGAGAAAAGAGAGAGGGAAAAGAGTAATAGAAACAGAGAAGAATTAGAGAAGAGTAGAAGACCAAGCGAAACCGAATAATTTCTAATCACATTTCAAAACTGAGTTACAAAGAATGGCAAATACTTATGTATAAGCAAAAGCTCTAATAGATATAAATCTAAGTAAATATCCTAATATTATCTAAATATATTATCTAGATATCCTAATCTATCCAAATCCTAACTCCTAATAATATTATATAAATCCTATCAATCCTATTTATATCATATTTAAATATTTCTTATTTATAATTATAATTACATAACAGAAGTCTACCTAAAATGTTGCTTAAATTTTTAAGCAAGTGAAACATAGTATTGACATTGTTCATTTTGTGATACTTACCGTTATATGTGGTGATTTATTGTTGTTATTGGCAAGTAGACTTTTCCTTAGAGCTATAGATTTCTTAAATTAGTATTAGTTTATATTTTGCTACATTTAATCTTTTTTTTTTTTTTGGGAGGATATGACAATTTTCATTATCACATTTTATACCACATCAGTATATTGATTCTTTGCATTATGTGGCTTTAGAAACTGGTCTCTGTCAACTCACATCCTAATCCTATTACCTTATATGGGAAAACTGAGAAGCAACTTTTTTACTTTCTGTGGAAAAATTTGTCTCGGGAAACAAGAATTTCACAGTATACTTACTAGCTAAAGCTGGCCTTAATGGGCAACTATATTGTTAACTAAGGCTTCCGTCTATCTGTTTCAATCAGTGAGGATAATTCTGATACAAGATTTTCAACCAGGTAATAAGCAAGCTTGAAAGACGCACTGTTGCATACCATGAATCAGGCCATGCCGTTGCTGGGTGGTTCTTGGAACATGCAGAGCCGCTATTGAAGGTAACTATAGTTCCTCGTGGCACAGCTGCTCTTGGGTTTGCCCAGTATGTTCCGAACGAGAACCTTCTGATGACAAAGGAGCAGCTTTTTGATATGACTTGCATGACCCTTGGTGGTAGGGCTGCTGAACAGGTAGCTTTCAGCTTTGTAACTCTGTCTCGATTTTTGGTTTTTGTTCTACTTAAAGAATATCGGTGATATGTGTATGCGTGGAATTTTTTCTGGCTAAGTACTGTGCTGTGCCATTGACGTTCCTTATATTCCCTAAACAGCTCTGGGATAAAGAAGTAGAAGACTGCTTTGTGCAATTTTAATTATAATTATGGTAACGATGGTTTTTACTCCCGTGACTGCAGGTTCTCCTGGGGAAAATCTCAACAGGAGCACAAAATGACTTGGAGAAAGTGACTAAGATGACGTATGCACAAGTAGCAGTGTATGGCTTTAGCGAAAAAGTGGGCCTGCTTTCTTTCCCTCCCAGAGAAGACACGTTTGAGATGTCAAAACCATACAGCAGCAAGACTGCTGCTATGATTGACGCGGAAGTGCGAGAATGGATAGGTAAAGCATACGAACGTACTGTGCAGCTGGTCGAGGAACACAAGGAGCACGTGGCTGAAATAGCCGAGTTATTGCTGGAGAAGGAAGTACTGCACCAGGATGATTTGGTCCGAGTCCTGGGGAAGCGGCCATTCCAGACAGGTGAAGTCACCAATTATGATCGATTCAAGCAAGGTTTTGAAGAGGAAGGGGAAAAGATTGTGGAACAGAGCTCAAGCCCGGTGAGTGGTAATGGGCCAGAAGACGAGGAGGGTTCTTCTTTACAGCCTCAGGTTGTTCCTTCATAACCAACCGGGGGCGTTTGTTGATGGGAATTGTACATGAATGAGTAATGACTGTCTTGTTGGAATGAATATTATTTGACTGACCTTACTTCGGGGCAAAGTTGTATAATACGGGCTCAAATAAATTATCATTTTGCATGCGCGGCTATGCCTTAGCCCTAGCCCTTAAGCCACCTCTGGCTTGGTTTTGCTGTTTCCTGCAGTGTACAAAGATGGCAATGGATTTGACGCTAGAAGCTGAAAGCCCACGTTTTAATTTCATTTTACGAGGTCATCGTCGTTTTCATTTATAAATTATAACTCAAGTCGTCACTCCCGATCTCTGCGTTGGTGAATGGTGTTCATCAAGATCTCTCTCTATCCACCGTCGTCCCTTTGGGTTGTCTCCCAGTTGTAATTGCTTCGATTTTTTTCCTTTAGTTTTTTTTGGCAAGAGGGCAACACCTGTGCCTAATTAACTTCCGAAAGATTCTTAGCGCAAAAGGATCTTGCACTGCAAGATAGCACCTCCTGTCCTACCGGAGGTGTTATATGGTTTTAATTTTGGGATATTGTCGGTGTACAAATTTCATGAGTAAATTGCTAGGAGATAGATCCACTAGAATGTTTTTGTTGTATATTCGTGTTATATTCACCTTATACTATTCATTCTTGATCTTATCCTTATTCAGAAGCCTTATTTACCAGACAATTATGTGGGGACATTTCCATAGGCTAGTTAGTTTTTTTTTTTAATGAAAAAGTAATTTATTCCTCGTAAAAAAGTATTTTTGACAGATTTTAGAATGTTTGTTTAAACCTAGGAATTATTTGAACCTTAAAAAATAAAAATAAAATTTATGATTATTTTGAAGTGGTGTTAAACAAAAATAATCAGCTGGCATACGGAGAACATTGATAAATACGCGGTTTTCTGAGCTGTGATACTAGAGCAAAATGTTAAAATACTACATATAAAAGGTTGAGTGGTTCATCCAAAAGAAGAAAAGGATTAATAGTTGTTAATTATAGAAATGCTTATGACTGCTGAATAATTTAAATAGGGTTGCCGGCTTCATAATTAGCTTATGAGTTGAAATCCCTTTCCATAATACATAATTAATTATTCCTTAATTCATTCAGTTAAATCCAGTAGTTATAATATGGGCAAAAAAATTAATATGGCATTTGATTTTGGTAATAATTAATGTTAATACATATATTAAAAAAACTAAATGTAACATGGCAACTTATTGACGTGTTATAATTGTTTTGGCTGGACTCCATATTTAAACAATCATAATTCTTTCCATCAAAACTACAACTTGTTAATTATATACTACTGATCCTAAATATAAGAGCCACTTGATTAATATGAGTAGATTAAGAAAGTAAGTTAAGTTAGTTTTTTGTTATAAATATGTATTATTTTTTCTAAATTATACTTGCTAATCAAGTTTATTAGCTAATACTACCATTATTAAAAGGACTGTCTTAGAAAAAATGAATGAATATAAGAAATAAAATGCATTAGGATCTTATATTTAAAATTAAAATAAAAATCCAACAATATTTATATCAAGTACTGCAGGTAGTACTTTGGTTCCACGGTTAAAATGACTTGTAAATAATATATTTATTAATTTACAGAGCTTTTACAAATATACAATTATATTTTTTATTACTTTCTCGCGTATATAAATCTCAGGTATCTTTTATTATGCTCTCGCTTCTTTTCTTTTTTTTTTTTGCGCCAGAAATTCCCGCTACTCCCCAATTTTTTTTTTATTTTTTAGTCAAATAAAACGCAAATGAAAGGGAAAGCAGTCGAACTTGGGGAGATGGCGATGGTTGGGCGGCATCATTGAAGACGAACAAAGTGGAAAAGTGTGCTCAGTTCTGTGGCACGCTGGCACTAGTTTAGGTAGACTCATTATGTAATTTGTGTGTGGGTGTGTGTATTTTTTTTTTTTTAATGTTTGCTTCTGGATTTGGGTCCCGTTAATGTCGTTAATTCTCTCCCTCCGTCGGTCTCTCTTTGGACCCGTTGCCTTGAATTTAAAGCCATCAACGCCCTTTCTATTTGTAGTTTAAACTTTAAACTACTCCTAACCCTTGGCATTTATAATTTCACTTCCCCATTTTCTCCTTCTTCTTCTTTATCAGCGTACTCATAGTTTCAGCTTTTGATTTCCTCTTCTAATCGCTGTAAGTTTGTTTCTATTTGTTTATTATGCATCATCTGCCATCACTTGATCTGCCTTATATCTGCTTTAGCGCGCTGGGTTTGCGTTTCTTTCCCGTTTTTCCCCCATCGCTTGCCTTGCGCATATATTCCCGTTCAATTTCAAGGTTTTAACATTTCGGTTAGTGATTTTGGGCGTTGGATCCGTCTCCTTTACAATCTGCCCCCCCAAAAAAAAAAACTTTACAATGGTGTTTGATAAATCAGTCACTGTGCCTGCGTATGTCTAGTTGATCACTTTTCAAGATCTCTCTTTTTTTCCCCCTTTTTGTGTGTGTGTTTGGGGGGGGGGTGTTTGTTTTTGTTTTTACGTTCTTATTTTCCCTCGGGCGTGTGTTGTTGATGCATTGATGTTGAACTGCTTGTGGATCATTTTAGATTCTTTTTGAATTTTAATATTATTAATGCCCTAAAATGGCCTCCATTCGACAACCCTCCACCATGATTCGCAATTTATCTGCACTTTCGTTATGTGCATTTTGGTCAGTGATTTTATATCAGTTGAGTTTAATGTAAAGATTTGGTTCATGACAATTTTACACAATATTGTTGATATTTGGGCGATTATTTCTTCTTACATGATGTTCCCATGTTTTTTTCCTCCCCAGTTTGCAGCCTTCCGAGGAAGTTGAAATGGAAAACGGGAATCAGTACCAGGAAGTTTCAAACGTGAAATATGATTGTCTTCTATTTGGTAAGCTTTCACACTGGCTTGTAAATCGTTATCATTTGCAAGCTTGATTGTCCTGGCCAAGTTATTTATAACATGCTTTCATTACTTTCAGATCTTGATGACACCCTTTACCCTCTGAGCTCTGGCTTGGCGGTGCACGTGAGAAAAAATATTCAAGGTACGGACATATCACTCTGGGCCTCAAATATGTGAGAATGTGCATGACGGGATCTTGAGGATTGGGTGTGGAATCATGAATCGTCATTGGATGTATGGCACAGATTACATGCTTGAAAAGCTTGGAATAGAGGAGACCAGACTTCCTGAATTGAACGTTTCATTATATAAAACTTATGGGACAACTATGGCTGGTCTCAGGGTATGTGATGCACGTAAATGAAAGTATTTTATTTATCTGTAGACTGCTTAGTATGAACTAATCAGTCATCTTTCCTCTACCTCCCGCCAGGCTATTGGGTATGACTTCGACTACGATGATTTCCATAGGTAACGGTACTGTTATATCTATTTAGTTTAGCTTGGCCTTTTATTTTGTGAAGTTGAAAAACCATGTGAAATGGAAATAGGCTTCTAATATTGTTCTTGTTGAACAGTTTTGTTCATGGGAGATTGCCATATGATACGCTGAAACCTGACCCTGTTCTCAGGGGCGTATTGCTAAGCCTGCCACTTCGGAAAATTGTTAGTTCACTTGTTCTTCGTTAAATTATGCGCACTGCATTGGCACTCTTTCTTTTTTTGGCGTCTCTCGCCTATGGCAGAAAATTGAACGTGAAATGTCTTTACATTATGATATATCTATATGTTTTTCAATTTTGTTTTCCCTTTCAGGTTTTTACTAACTCAGACAAAGGTCATGCTGTTAGAGTGCTCCATAGACTTGGATTGGACGAATGCTTTGAAAAAGTTATAAGCTTTGAGACGCTGAATCCCCCCAACTACGACCATCCTCATGGTGATGAAGATGGCAACAAATCTGCAACATTTGATTTTTACGAGTGTATGCGCCAGCCTCATTCTGATATGGTGCTACCGAAGACCCCAGTTGTCTGCAAACCATTTGAAGGTGCATTTGAACGGGTTTTCGAGATGGCCAATATCAACCCTCAGAGAACAGTAAGATCAACTCTTTCCGTCAACATTTTGGTCATATATTTTCTACAATCTTTCTGACTAATCACTGTCATCTGGATCTGGATCTTGTTTTATGTATTGGTCGACGTTCCTTTTCATCCTAGTATTGACCATTGTTTCTCATCATGATGCTCCACGTGAGAAATGCCATCATTAATTTTTTTCCCTTTGCTGCTTTCAGTTGTTCTTTGATGACAGTGTCCGCAATTTACAGACAGCAAAACGCTTGGGCCTCCACACGGTCTTGGTCAGTACGCTTTCTTCTTTCATTGTTGCTTGAAAATTTCATGAATTACCTGTTAGTACTTGTAGTGACATCCTTGCTAGATGTAAATGTGTAGTAGAATTGGGAAATTTGAAGCGCGAATATGAGATGGTGATCGGTATGTATCTCAGCGCCACAATTTGAAATTATGATGCAGGTGGGTACTTCCCTTCGGACCACAGGAGTGGATCATGCATTAGAGAGCATTCATAATATTAGGGAGGCGTTTCCGGAGCTCTGGGAGGCCGATGAGGAGCATGAAAGGGTCAGGTGCTCAAGAAAGGTTGCAATGGAGACATCAGTAGTAGCTTAGCATGAAAGGGTCAGGTGCTGTGGCATCAATATATCGTTGTTAAGATGAATTAGAAAACCCATACCAATATCTGGTTTTTATAGTAATGAAACTATCATCGTACATGCGATAAGGTTGCAATTTTGTGTCAAGTATTTATTCGGTGATATAGTGAAAACTAGCATATGAGAATTTTCTCTCCCCAGCCTTTGCCTGCTGTATTGGTCTTTCGTTATATCTCCTCTTAGCTGCAAAGAAGGGGGGGGGGGGAACTAGCATATTGACATGCCAGATACTGATCTCATCATAAGTACGAGCGATGAGACTGTTTTAAGTCTGAAGGACCTAAATGTAGCTTTTGAGCAGATCTGAATGATAAGTTTTTACGGAAGTTGCTCCTGTAATTTTAAGTCGGTTAATGACGAGGACTCTTGTACTTAGTCCTCACCCTCTTTTGTTCTGTGTTTAATATTCAAATATCCCAACTCTGGGATTGAAGCGGGTGTGTGTGCCGCTGGCGGGTAGAGAGAGGCGAATTGTGAGAATAAAAGAAGCTGTTGTTGGGGATCGAACCTGCGACGCTCAAGAATTCTCGCCACCATACAACTTAACTCGCTGCTGGTCCGAGCGTAATCATCTTGTTCGATAATTGGCGGACTTTTTAATACGTGGGCAGGGCCTCTCGCAAAACTGAACTAGCTCTGAAAATTACTTTTTTTTATACAATCTCTGGAATCTGAAACTGCTTCTCCTTAACGGGAAGCCAACGGCGGACTGGATTCTCGTCACTTATTGCCTCAGAGTCGCTACGGCGGCTAAAGCCGTCGGCGAGAATATTGTAATTGATGCTTTTCTGTTCAAGAATTTGAGGAGTCGAACTTAATATGGCCGCTCGTCTATTTTGTGCTGGCAACCCTTATTATCTGCATTGGGAGGCTTTTTACTTCTGCAACTCGATGGATGATTTGGTAAAGGAAAAGCGATTATGGAATTTTGCGCTTCTAAACATGCAGGCAAATGGGCTAAACACAACTACTATAAACATAATAATACTATCACTCATGGTGACAGAGTCCAGCATAAAGTTTTCATTATAAGCTGAACTTTGGATGAGCTAACCACTTTAAGAGGCACCCTTGACACTGTATACACTAAACATGATGCTTTTAGCACACCCTTAATTCACCTCCCGTGTTCATATATATACATTTATCTAGAAATAGAGCCATATATCGGTTATGATGCACGATAAGGATAACCTGGGCCAAGACGAATAGGACAGAGCATTCTCATTTCTTCAGATGGCACTCCCATTTCCATTTGCTCAATCTAAATTCTGGTACGAGAGATCAGAAGCCAGAAGGCCACGAGTCTTTAACAACTGTCACGGGGCAAGTGGCGTTCGCGGTAACATAGCTGGTCACACTCCCCAGCAAAACCCTATATGTAGTACAGTTCGATAAATAAAAACGAATGGATTAAAATGTTAGCATTTTGCCATGAAACAATTGAATTTGACTGTTTGACAGGGTCGAGCCTATATTGTTAGTTGACGTCAACAGATGTAGCTTATTCATTTGTGTCAAACAGCCAAAGGAACAAGAAAATGAAGATTGACATATTCCAAACGGAAAGGTGAAGAAAAAACTACAGTACCTTTGAATGAGACCCAGGCCTCTGCTACCCATGACCAAAACGTCAAGCTTCAAATCCCCGACGGACTCGCAGATCCTCTCTCTCGCATCCCCCCAGTATAGCTTTGCCACCGCCGTCACCTGTAACCAAATTCGATCAATCTCTTTGAATCAAGTTCTCAACCCATGAAAAGGAAGAGGCAGGGAGAGAGACCTGCTTCTCTCTGCAAGCAGTGTCGAGCAGATCCAATATCTCACCATCGGTCTCCACTTCATAATTGCTCATCACCTCCTTATCACGAAACTCTGACATAGGGATCAGAGCTGAAATTGCAAGATCCCCCTCGTTATAACGATCTTAGAGATTCAAGCAAGCAAGCAAGGAAAGCCGAGAACTTACGAGAACCAGTGGTGGACCAGAGAAGATTTCGGGATTCATCGCCTTGCGAAGGCTTGACGTGGATGATGAGTAAGGTATCACCCTTGACTAGCAGGTTGTCGATGCCCCATTTCAGAGCCATCTTGCTTCCCTTTGAGAAATCCAGGGCAACTCCTATTTTCCTGTTATTCGCCATCTATCTTCTATCTACACAGGACGATTCACACGCTTCGGAAGAAGAGAATTGAGCTTTATTTCACGGTTCTTGGATGTTGACGGATCAGCTAGCAGAAAAGGAGCACAACATAAAATTTTAGCCATACAGGAAGGTTTTTCACTCTGTTGGAAAGAAGCATTTACCAAAGTCAGTGTCTAATGAGAGCCCTTGTAGTCATCTCTCTTATTTGGAATGAACATGCCTCTTCCATCACATCAAGAAAATTAGGAAACTTATCATACAGGATAAGACTGCCATCGTGGAGTACACTTACGCTGTGTAGTTCGACAGAGGGATGGAGAGGGGAGGGATTTTAATCAAGGGAAGGGGAGGGGAGGAAAGGGGAGGGTAGCTACGAAGAGGAGGGGAGGGAGGGGGAGGGGAGGGGAAGGATTTTAATGATATCCTGTTTGGATTGATTGGAGGGGAGGGAAGGGAGCAATTTTAATAATACCTTATTTTGTTCTAATAAAAAATTGACTATTTTAACCTCATAAAATTTAAATGAATTTTCTCACTTTTTTATTTTGTTAAGATATAACTATAAATATATAATACAATTCACCAATTTTGATTTACAAGACACAGTCACACACTTATAGAATATCAAGATAAAAAGTCACAAGTAATAGATTTCAATCAGAGAAAAGACCTTGAAGGTGAAAGAAAATACCAACTGCTTCTTGGAATTAGAAGAAGAGAAAAAAAAAAGTTTCCAAATGCTCACTAATTTTGGAGACAATTATCTTAATAACCTCTTGTTAGATACTTAAAAGGACTCTCTTATGTAGAAATGTTTACGATTGATTAGAGGTTAACAAATCAAAAGAGTATATAAGGAATTAAAATATTATCTCTCACCTCCCCTCCAAAAAATCCCACTTTTGGAGGGGAGGCTAGAAGGGAAGGGAATGGAAGAAAAATCCCTTCCTTCTTTAAAAAACATCTTAACCAAACGAGAGGAGGGGAGGAGAGCCCCTCCTCTCCTAAAAAATTACACTAGCCAAACAAGGAGAGGGGAACAACTTCCCTCCCCTTCCCTCCAAAAATTTCGTACCAAACATAGCGTTACAAAAATGTAAAGAATGTTGCACGTTGGCTCGCACACCAAGCAGGTAAATGAGTAATAGTGACAACATTATAATCTTCAACGATCCTCATTATTTTTTTCCACCAAAATTTTCCGTGCCTTTGATGTTCTGGGAGAGAAACAACCTTCTCGGCCCTGAAAACTTTTTCTCCTCTCGAAAAAGAACTTGCAACGCTGTTTTAGACGCTGCTTACCGTTTTTACTATAAGTTCTAATTAATTAATTTAAAAAGATTAAAAAAATTAGTTAAATTTGTTATTTATGGTAAATAGATGCTGTCTTTCTTAAAATGTCCTATTAATCATCTATGTTTGAATTACAAATTGATAATAATCCTTTAACATATACAATGACTGTAGAGATTACTTTAAGGTAAAATGAATAAATATTAGAAACAAAGTGGATTAAGATCTTATATTCAGAATCAAATTAAAAGTCAAATTAACTTTTATATTAAGAATTAAAGATAATATTAAATTAATTACATCTTAAGTATGTGTGTTGTTTTTTTTTTGCAAATATTTTTTTAATTACTTATATTGAATTTTTTTTAATTGAAACTCCTTAAGCACAGATTTTAATGATATCCTGTTTGGATTGATTGGAGGGGAGGGAAGGGAGCAATTTTAATAATACCTTATTTTGTTCTAATAAAAAATTGACTATTTTAACCTCATAAAATTTAAATGAATTTTCTCACTTTTTTTTTTGTTAAGATATAACTATAAATATATAATACAATTCACCAATTTTGATTTACAAGACACAGTCACACACTTATAGAATATCAAGATAAAAAGTCACAAGTAATAGATTTCAATCAGAGAAAAGACCTTGAAGGTGAAAGAAAATACCAACTGCTTCTTGGAATTAGAAGAAGAGAAAAAAAAAGTTTCCAAATGCTCACTAATTTTGGAGACAATTATCTTAATAACCTCTTGTTAGATACTTAAAAGGACTCTCTTATGTAGAAATGTTTACGATTGATTAGAGGTTAACAAATCAAAAGAGTATATAAGGAATTAAAATATTATCTCTCACCTCCCCTCCAAAAAATCCCACTTTTGGAGGGGAGGCTAGAAGGGAAGGGAATGGAAGAAAAATCCCTTCCTTCTTTAAAAAACATCTTAACCAAACGAGAGGAGGGGAGGAGAGCCCCTCCTCTCCTAAAAAATTACACTAGCCAAACAAGGAGAGGGGAACAACTTCCCTCCCATTCCCTCCAAAAATTTCGTACCAAACATAGCGTTACAAAAATGTAAAGAATGTTGCACGTTGGCTCGCACACCAAGCAGGTAAATGAGTAATAGTGACAACATTATAATCTTCAACGATCCTCATTATTTTTTTCCACCAAAATTTTCCGTGCCTTTGATGTTCTGGGAGAGAAACAACCTTCTCGGCCCTGAAAACTTTTTCTCCTCTCGAAAAAGAACTTGCAACGCTGTTTTAGACGCTGCTTACCGTTTTTACTATAAGTTCTAATTAATTAATTTAAAAAGATTAAAAAAATTAGTTAAATTTGTTATTTATGGTAAATAGATGCTGTCTTTCTTAAAATGTCCTATTAATCATCTATGTTTGAATTACAAATTGATAATAATCCTTTAACATATACAATGACTGTAGAGATTACTTTAAGGTAAAATGAATAAATATTAGAAACAAAGTGGATTAAGATCTTATATTCAGAATCAAATTAAAAGTCAAATTAACTTTTATATTAAGAATTAAAGATAATATTAAATTAATTACATCTTAAGTATGTGTGTTGTTTTTTTTTTGCAAATATTTTTTTAATTACTTATATTGAATTTTTTTTAATTGAAACTCCTTAAGCACAGATTTTAATGATATCCTGTTTGGATTGATTGGAGGGGAGGGAAGGGAGCAATTTTAATAATACCTTATTTGTTCTAATAAAAAATTGACTATTTTAACCTCATAAAATTTAAATGAATTTTCTCACTTTTTTATTTTGTTAAGATATAACTATAAATATAATACAATTCACCAATTTTGATTTACAAGACACAGTCACACACTTATAGAATATCAAGATAAAAAGTCACAAGTAATAGATTTCAATCAGAGAAAAGACCTTGAAGGTGAAAGAAAATACCAACTGCTTCTTGGAATTAGAAGAAGAGAAAAAAAAAGTTTCCAAATGCTCACTAATTTTGGAGACAATTATCTTAATAACCTCTTGTTAGATACTTAAAAGGACTCTCTTATGTAGAAATGTTTACGATTGATTAGAGGTTAACAAATCAAAAGAGTATATAAGGAATTAAAATATTATCTCTCACCTCCCCTCCAAAAAATCCCACTTTTGGAGGGGAGGCTAGAAGGGAAGGGAATGGAAGAAAAATCCCTTCCTTCTTTAAAAAACATCTTAACCAAACGAGAGGAGGGGAGGAGAGCCCCTCCTCTCCTAAAAAATTACACTAGCCAAACAAGGAGAGGGGAACAACTTCCCTCCCCTTCCCTCCAAAAATTTCGTACCAAACATAGCGTTACAAAAATGTAAAGAATGTTGCACGTTGGCTCGCACACCAAGCAGGTAAATGAGTAATAGTGACAACATTATAATCTTCAACGATCCTCATTATTTTTTTCCACCAAAATTTTCCGTGCCTTTGATGTTCTGGGAGAGAAACAACCTTCTCGGCCCTGAAAACTTTTTCTCCTCTCGAAAAAGAACTTGCAACGCTGTTTTAGACGCTGCTTACCGTTTTTACTATAAGTTCTAATTAATTAATTTAAAAAGATTAAAAAAATTAGTTAAATTTGTTATTTATGGTAAATAGATGCTGTCTTTCTTAAAATGTCCTATTAATCATCTATGTTTGAATTACAAATTGATAATAATCCTTTAACATATACAATGACTGTAGAGATTACTTTAAGGTAAAATGAATAAATATTAGAAACAAAGTGGATTAAGATCTTATATTCAGAATCAAATTAAAAGTCAAATTAACTTTTATATTAAGAATTAAAGATAATATTAAATTAATTACATCTTAAGTATGTGTGTTGTTTTTTTTTTGCAAATATTTTTTTAATTACTTATATTGAATTTTTTTAATTGAAACTCCTTAAGCACAGATTGTTCGAATTTTAATTTTAGGATGCTTTTTCTGAGTAAGATCTTCAATTAAATTTTACTTGGGTAAACTTATAATATACTCATTGAAATACGCAGAAAGAAAATATTATGTCAATTTTTAATATAAGAGTTAGTTTGATTTTTAATTTGGTCTCAAATATAAGACCCTGATTATTTTGTTTAGTTTAACTTTTAATTTGGTTCCAAATATAAGACCCTAATTACTTTATCTTCAATATTTATTGATTTCGTCTTCAAGTAATCCCTATAGTAATAGCATCCCTTAGTGAGTTACTATCGATTTCTAACTAATTTGATAAGGACATTTAAGAAAGATAATATTTTTTTACCACAAATAACTAATTTAACTAATTTTTAAAATTTTTTTAAATTAGTTAACTAATTGTTATATTAAAGACTAGAGATAGTATTCCCCCTTCTGCACGCCTAATTTCTATTTGACCACCCCTCTGTCCAAGCTTAGGAATGGAGGTCATGATGATAAATAATTTTGATGGGTTTTTGATAACTTTTATTTTTAGGATTAAGCTCAAAAAACAGAGAGCCCCCAGGGTTCATTCAACTTGACTTTAGAGGTGGTTTTCAAAAACAGTTTTTTAATAAATCATAACAAACTCTTCTACGTATTTATTTACTATACTATAAAATTACTTTTAAAATTATAATTTAATTTCTATTCAAACATTTTTTTAGTCAGGAAAACTAACATGTAGGTTCTGCAATTTGCACTTTGCTTTTAATCCGTGCTCAAAGGTTATTTTTTCTTTTTAAATTAAATCCTTGTGCCCATCAGCGGTGGCGGTGCTCACGACGGTCCCATTCTGGAAGACATTGCTGGCGAAATCGAAGAGGATGTCACTGTTTCAAACAACCCACTCTCTTTCGCTTCCTGCGAGACCTCTTGGGTAGCCATGAAACTTATTTACGTCCCGATCAGTGACAGCCTCAGTGGCATAGAACAGAGCAGCATGCACGATCAAGTCAAGGTAGTTTTGGTTTACTGAGTGGAACGATTTTAAGGATTTCAGTTTGTCTCTTCCTGAAGATAGGAACGTCTCTAATGGATTTAAGTGACTTTTTTTTTTTTGCCCCCATATCTGTCCTTCTGGGTCTTGTTAGCCACTCTTGTCTCATCACACTTCAGAATTGGTTTTGGTTCCCAACTATCTTTATCTTGTTCTCAAGTTTAATCAAATTTTTGTTTCTTCCTCATTGTTTTTCACATTTCTTGTGCTTTAGTTCTTTCAGATTCCATGCTTTTCATTGCCGGATGGTCTTCTTCACAGTAGTGTATCACAATCACCGCCTCTCGTTCTTAATTCAGTTCAATATGACTCACTCATCCACGTTGAGGCGATAAGGATTCCGGTGTTATTTTTCCCTTGCTAAAATGGACGGAGTAAGCGAGTGGGATCCACATGAAAGTGAGCAAGGACCCTATCTCCTCACTCGACTCTTCTTTCACAATAGTACTAATCGAGAAGAAATGAGGCGTCGGTCCTCCCCGGGTTGCAGCTTGACAATAGATTTCCTTTTGAATTTATCGGCTCAAAACAAAACGAGAACGATTTAATCATCTGAAGGGAAATTTCCCAGGCTCACAGAATAAGATGATTTTGCATAGCGTAACTTTCCACACGAAGCTGAAGAATTATCGTCAAGCTTAGCCCGGAGTATATTGGCATATAAGTAGCAGAGAGTAATTAATAAGGGGGATATATATATATATATATATATATATGTACTTAATAAGAACTAAGAACCATGGCAGTACGCACGCAAAAGATTACAGGACAGAGAGGAGAGGAGAGGACTAGGACAGTATATAACATAGTAAAACATTTATGGCAGCTGTCATGGAGGCGGATCAGCCACTGCCTTCAATTTCAACAACCCTGACATTAGGGAGTGCGGATTGTAGTTTGGGAACAGTGACGAGCAGAACCCCGTGGTTCATGGTGGCCTTCAGTTGTTGGAGGTCGGCATCCTCCGGGATTTTGAATCTGCTCATGAAATTGCCGCTCTCCAGGCTCACCTGCAGCATTCGATCGTCTTGAAGCTCCACCAGCACATCCTCGTCGGTGAACCCAGGAAGCACCACCTTCCACACGTGCCTTCTGGAGTTCTCCCTCCAGTCCAGACGGGAATTCAAGCTCGACCCAAACCCCAAATCAACATCATGCACAAAACTGGAAATGGCCGAGGAGAAAGGGAAGGGCGTATCATTGAGCAGCCTGTCCATGGGATCCCACCACAAGGAGTCGGAGGCACCGCCCCCTCCCTCGTTGATCGGCACGATCGACATCCTTACTCGCCTATTTCGTCTCTCTCAGCTCGAAGCCCGGGTACATTGATCATGCTCCTGCTCGTCGCTAGTAAATACCGATGCTCGAACGTTCCAGATTCAATAAAGCGACCCGTTTGCTTTCCTCAGTTTTATTCTTTTGTTTTTGGGTCTAAATTTTGGTCTAGGGCCTTGTGGTTATTTGGGTAAAGGTGCATCACCATTCTAACTGCAAGCCCATGAAAAGCCCAATTTCCTTACACATCAGAATACAGTATCCAGGCTTTTGGAGCTGCTGCTGCTTGCATCGCAGGCGCAGATGGATCATCTGAGCGCCACCCTGGTTCGAATGTAGGGCCCTTGTTTTGGATTTAGCCATTGAGGTTCTGTTCTATGCATGTTAAATGCGAGTCTCATTTCAGGAGTTGCCTGCCCTGAGACTGAGGCCATCTTCGTGAATAATAGTGCTCATATGACAAATGATAATGACTAATTGTGTCGTCCCCCCCCCCCAAAAGCTCTGGGTCAACTTGGAAGTTTGATGCTAAGCCCCCTTTCTCATATAATTTATGTTGTGTTTGGTGCAAAGGAATCGGAGTAGGAATTCATGATTTGGAGCGTTTAGCATGTATGATTCGTAATTCCCATAAAATCCATTTAGTGGGGTCCCATGGGGGTCTGTTTTTGTCCTGCTTTGGCTCTGATCGAAAGTGCATTTTAATATTTTCACTATATAAGTATGCTTAACAAATGAGAATTATGCAAAGATTTTGTACAGTTCTTTCATCGTGCCAAACATATTTTTAAATTTAATTTTATTCTGATTGTAATTTCTTTTTTCTACTCCAATTCTGTCAAGGGGGGAAAAAACTCTAATCATACCAAATGAGGTCTTAATTCTAATGAAGACGCTATAATTTGGCTAATCATTAGACAACAGACGTTCACCGGGCTTCCACTCCATGAGTCGTTGACTGTGGAATGCATCCACATCATGATGCCCTCCTCCCCAATCCCACTTTAGCCTCCTAAAGGGATGTTTGAAATCACGTTTACAAACAAGTATGGTTAGCATGGTTTATGTAAAGTGAAAGAAGACTCTCTTTACTTAGTCTCGTTCAGTATCATATTTAAAACTACTTATAAATATGTTTTATATAAATTCATAAAAAAAAAATTCATATATTTATCTCATATTTTGTCAATTACGTTTGAAAAACTGTTTGTAAACTATTCTAAATAAATTCTTAATATTTTATAAATCATAATTAAAAAACTGTTTATAAACTAATTAATAAAACTGACATGTATCACCATCATCCTCATACTCCAGGAAATAATGGCGTCAGGCTTTGTACCCTTAACCCCTCGTTATCATTGTCATATAAATAATACCATTAAACTATGAACATCAATTAATTAATGCGCCCAATCGCTCTGAGCTGCACTTCTTTTCTCCGTATCCCACACCGCTTTTTGCTTCGTGCGCTGCTCAAAAAAAGGCAAGTACTTTAACCCCAAAGCGCGGCCACCTTGCTTTTTATCCCCCCCTCTGCTCAAGACCATACGGATTCCATGTTATTTTGTTATGTGACTTGGCCCTTTTGGTTTTATGATCTACGCATAAAATTCAATACTTTTGGAGTAACAAAATATTAATTAAGATGGTAAGTAGTCTTATTTTTGTAAAAAAAAAAACACACAATTACAAATCTTTAAAAAAAGAACAATTGCTAGAAGAAACGACAACATTTTATGTTCTAAGCTTAGAAACCTCAATCAAATGAAAAAAAAAATCAATACTTTCTGATATAAAAAATTCTTCACTAAATGGAGACAATATGGCCAATGTAAACGTCAAAAGAGCCATAATTAAACACAAGAACTAGGCATAAAGGGAAAACGATGAACATTATTGATCTTTTAACTGATACAGCTCAAAGTTAGATTCCATTCCTCTCCTACCCACTTTTTCCTGTGTGAAAAAAAAAATTATTGTACTTTTCATGAAAAAACTGGACGCGTTTCCTGTATACCACAAAGCCTCAAAATAGGCCATGTTATTTATAATTTAAAATAATGCGGCTTCTTTTCAGCGCGGATGAGAAGAGAAAGTGTGAATTATCTGTACAGAGCTAAGTGGGCCCCGTTTAAGCCCAGTAACTCAGGATTCTATGATAGATCCGCCATGTAAAGAAAGGACGAAGGGAAACCACGGGCTGCCCCTATTTCACTCTTTCACTTCGTTGACTGCCAGCATCACACTCGCACTCACATACTGATACGGAGCACGAGAACCAAAATGCAACAGTTTTCTCACCGGCTCTGATCGGAACACGTCGGCAGCTCCGTGTCATTTTTCTGTTGCTTTCCTGTCCGACTTTAGAGTTCGGAGAAGAAAACTCAGCCTTTGGAATTTCGAGGTCATTATTCATCTTCTTTGCCTTCTGGATCTCTGTTCCCATGACGTTTTGCAGCGCTATTGGTCTCCCACCGACACTCCTTCCTTCGCCTCCAAGCTAGACGAGCCTCCACTCCTGCATTACCCCCTGGATGTCTGGTATGCATCTTGAGCTTCATATCCCGCTTTGATTCTGTTTTTCTGCTTTATTTTACATTACTTCCATATATTACTGCCTTTGGCACCCGAGTTTTAGCACTGTAATACTGTAATTTCACCTTCGTGTTCCTGTCTCTCTTGCAACAACGAGTGTTAATATATATTACCCCATTTTTTCTTTGTAGTATAAGCGTTTTACCCCTTTTAAATGATTTTTCCAGCTCGGGTTAATGTAGTCGTTGGGAAACATTGGAGCAAAACAAAGAGAAATGCTCTGCCCTTTTAGCATGTGAAATTTTATTGATCGTTTCGAAGCTCGAGAACGAACGGGACATTACTGTTCAGTATTTTGAAGTTCGAGTATACTGAGTGCTTCTAAATAGCTTATAATCTTTGTCTCCTCCATTATTTGTGGAGAAGGCTGGGATTCTGATCGACACGGGTCGTTATGTCTTATCTTTTAGATTTTCGAAATTGGTTTCCGTGGACCACTACCACTTCGATTATCTGATTTCACCTTTGTCCATACTCTTCATACTACTCTGTCTCCTTACACTCGGTTTCAGCTTTCATTGCTCAATGCTAACCATAATATCGTGCTCTACAGTTTTCATATAATTTGACATTAATTTTGTTTTCGTTCAAGATGTTGTTGGGCTCAACTGGTTCTTGTCATATTGAGATTGGTTAACGCGTCACCTCATTCACATGTTATCAGATCTGAATCAATTCAAACACGAAGAGGAGGATATTGTTTAAATACGTTTTAGCCATAACCTTTATCCTTTTCCTTTGGTAATATCTTTGAAACATTTCTTAATGCAATTCTTGCTTTTTTTATATAGGCAATTATTCATTTAGCTTAATACCCTTGCATTTGGAAGTTTTACTTTGTTTCCAATTTGTAGCAGAAAAGCGGCATTTGGATATTCCTTCTTGCAAACTCATCCAAAAAATTCCTGAGCTAGAGCCCAGCAAACGTATGCGGCCTATTAATTAGTCAAGGTCTCAATCGAAATTCAGGAAATTACTTACCAGCATGAGTACAAAGCATTATGACAGTTTACAACTTGATAACTCTGCCCCGTCAGATGCGGACCTTCATCACAATATTACCAGATGTGTGGGGGACAGAAAATCTTATGAGAATCACCAAAAGCAAGGGAGTCATAGAAGGGAATGTAAAGAAGATGAGCTAGTTAGGTACATGTCAGATCTTCCAGGTTTTTTGGAGAAGGGAGAAAGTATTCATGATAAAGTCTTGAATGTGGGGGTCCTTGATTGGGCCTGTCTGGAGCAATGGAAATGCAGTCATAAACATATGCCCCATATAAGTAGTAGGAGGTCGACATCAACAACTACTAATAAATCTGTGTCTGTTTCAATGGACAGATCATCTGGTTATTCTAGCAGTGGTCGTAGCTTGTCTCCTTCCTGCCGAAGCATTTGCCATCCACCACTGCTATCTCATTTTATGGCATCTGCGATGCAGGGCCACTCTCAGGATGCAAAATCCTTGGGAAAAATTTTAGAAAATTGTCAAAATATTAGCGGTAGCAACAATAACACACACAGCCAATTTGTCGGGGCAAATGACTGTCTTTCCCCAGACCTCCCTGATAATAGACTGAAAGCACGCAACATGAAGGGTTTAGATGCCAAAATTGATATGAAAAGAGGAGCTCTATCAAGTGACCAAATGAATGAAGTAGCATCATACATCATGTTACAAACGAGCTCTCAAGGTGGTAAATTGGAAAAAAGAGTGGAGACTTTCCAGCAATCAAATATGGTTACCATTGAGAAAGACGTACTCAAGAAAAACAAACCACCTGTTCTTTGTTTGTCCAGAGATATCTCCCTGAATGATCATTCTGTAACGCGGGATATGCCAACATCCCAAGGTCAAAAGTCACAAATTCTTAGTCAAACAAGCTTCATAGAAAATCCTAAGGAACTACCCCCCGAGGATTTTAGTTATAAAAAGCCAAACTCCTGTACACTGCCTGATGAAATTAACTGTTCCCGTTCTGAGGCAAAGGGGTCCAGTTCTGCAGGTGCAGAAAGAGTCAAAGTTCACACTGCTACTTTCTCAGCACCCCTATCAGCTAAAATGGGAATAAGCCCATCCAAATCTAGACAAGTTGAAAAGAAACAGCCGATAATTACAATGCTATCTGCTAGAGCGTCTTCCCAGGAACCAGCTCAGAAAGTAACAGGTGAAAAGTCAAGAAGCTCTTCACCTTTTCGACGATTTAGCTTCAGCACCGGTTTTGCTAGCAAAGGATCTGGTTGCAAGGAGGATGCACTTCGGCCATATAGGAGCTCAGTAGGAAATGCTACATCTAGTTTAGAAAATATGAGGGGCTGTTCGAGCTCAGATATTTCAGGCAATGGTAAGGCAGGTGAGACTGGTAGGAGCAGGTCAAGCCCTTTAAGGAGGTTACTCGATCCACTACTGAAACCAAAGACGGTGAACTGCCACCACTCTACAGATTCATCTCAGAAAGATCCATTGTTAATAAATGAGAATTGTATGTTAGCAAATGGGAAATCTTCCTCTTTGCAGCGTGAAAAAGGGTTGATAAAGAACCACAGACTTGGTTACAGTACAATTGATAAGGATGATTCATCGAAGTGTAAGAGCATGTGTCATCAACAGTTCAAGCTCTTCTGAGAATTGCATGGAAGAATGGCTTGCCCATGTTTACATTTGCAGTTGACAAAAGCAGCAGCATTCTTGCGGCCACGGTGAAGAAGTTAGGTACCACAGAAAAGGATGGCTGCTGCTGTATCTATACCTTTTTCACCTTTAGAGATGTTAATAAGAAGGCTGGAAATTGGATAAAACAGGCTGGAAAGGGAAAAGGTCCTGATTACATTCATCATGTTGTGGGCCAAATGAAGGTTTCCAATCCTCACTATCTTGATTTAACTGGCCAGAATTGTGTGGACTCTTCTCCTGTGAAAGAGCTCGTTTTGTATTCTGTGAAGCTAAAGCAGGGATGTGATCAAGCCCCTGATTATCAGCTAGATGATGAACTTGCTGCAATTATACTCAAAATACCCAAAACATTGGTTTTCACCAATAATGTGCATTATAGCAGTTCCTGTGATAATGGTCAAGAGCTTGTTCATGCAACAGTTGTGCTTCCAAGTGGGGTTCATAGTCATCCAAGTAAAGGTGGACCTTCATCCCTTATTGAGCGCTGGAAATCAGGTGGATCTTGTGACTGTGGTGGTTGGGATATGGGTTGCGAACTTAAGATTTTGCAAATGAAAACCCAGCCAATAAAAAGTCATTTTCATCCAAAGCTTGTGGTGAAGATCATTTTGAGCTTTTTCCTGCAGGTAATGTTCGTGCCAGGCTGAATTATTTTGCTAATTTAGTTGTCCTTTCATGTTGCATTGATAACTAATGTAACGTTCTTTCAACTTTGAATGCACATTGCAGGGGAATGGGCGAGACCGACCTGCTTTCAGATTTGTCCCCTTCAAGCAGGGAATTTTCTCGGTTGTTTTATGACTCGTCATTCACACTTCTGCAAGCATTTTCCATAGCCATAGCATTAGTGGATTGTAAAATGCCATGTCAGCTTTTCTGGATCAAGAAACTCAGTTGAAGAAAAAATTTAGAAGGGCGGAAATCGATGGAATAAAGGCTTTTAATAATTAGGAAATTCTCAATGTAGGTCGTCCGCTAACACTGCTCTCACCAGTTGATAGTGCCTAAAATTAACTCGAACGAAGCATGTCTTCGTGCGATCAACTAGACCATATGATATGGGTACTCACCAACCACCTCTGCTTTACTCCCCTCACATGGATCAGTCTCTGTTCTTAATATCAGCCGCATGAATGAAAATCCTTTACGGTTATTGACCCTCGCCGTCATGTTAATAAGGAAGAATGATCGTGAGATTGGAGCTTGTGTTTTCTGTTTTGTATATTCTCCAGCGATGCATCATCATTCATTATGAAGTGTTCAAGCCCGCCAACAGATAAAAGTGCTATTATC